ATCCTTTGTAAGTGATGAGAAACAGGTTGATGATGAAATGGAATGAGGGTCTCATTATATTAAATCTCAGGGCCCACCCTGGTGGCGCAGTGGGTTTGGAGGGCTGCACTGCAAAGCCAAGCCAAGCCTTGGCCGCTTCAGTGTGAATTCCATCCCCACCCCAGAGGTGACCCACATGGCGCGGCAGACCTCTCCTGACTCCCCCGCTGCTCCTCTCAGCAGTGGACTTTGTCAATCTGCCTGTTCTGCTCCCCACTCTGCCTCTGATGAATCCTCTCACTGCCCCTGTACCTCTGGCTTGTACCCCAGTTCTGTATGCACAAATACCTAAGATCTTTAAAAAACAAAAGAAATTTCAAATGTTGTTACATTTTGTTTCAGTGTTCCATTATATGAAAACTCATTTTACCTAAACAGGCAGTTGGAGATACTACAACAAACAATGCATGTCCTATGTTAAAGGACACATGAAAGTCTTGGCTGATTCCAAAACCTTTTGTAATTAGGTTAAATACTTCTTTGGTCCCCAAATCGTTCTTAGCTCAATTAACAATTTTTGCAAGCATGATTGATAAGTTGCTTCATTTTCAAGTGGAGTTGAGTACCTAAATCTGCACTAATTGATAGCTATAGTCATATATTTTTAAGTAGCATCAAAACTGACAATCCCAAACTAGCCTCTTGAACTTATATCTGCAACAGATAATGAACTGTGGAATTTTAGGTAAGAAAGTGTCTCTTAAAGTGAGATGAGTTTGTTGAAAATTTTAATGATAATATCAATAACATTGATATATTGATATGAACAAAATATCAATAATATAAAAAAAATCCAAAGCATTTACTTGCAGTTCAGGGACCTCATTTATAGTTTTGAGACATTGTATTTCATTTTGACATCATTATTTAACTTTCAGTGATTGAAACAAAATTGCTTATTAGTATTAAAGAAGAAACTATGTGCCAGCAGGATCAGACAATCCTACTACTTCTCACGCCCCTGCAAAGATGGCAGTCATCTTTTAAATTTAATAAAAAACAAAAGTCTTTTAGTCGCAGCATTAGTTTTCCTAATAGCATGGGTAGCATTAATTGATTTGTGTCTTTTATAAGGACCGGGGGTGACTGAGATTGTCAGTGACTAATCCACTGACTTGCTGTCTTGGCCTTGGCTGCTTGTTATATCACAAACCCTTGTCACCAGCTGTTCTCTCTGCAGCATAGTGGCATTGGAAAGAAAAACGCCTTCTGTGAAGTAATTTCTAAGAGTTACAATTTTGACAATTAGTATCCATTGTCTGTGCATGTGGAAATAAATGTTCTGTTCAATGTTTTTATTCCCATGAATCTTGCACTTGGGACCAGCCAGGCCTCATTATCTTGAATTCACTTGGAACCAACATTTTTCAAACAGGAAGTCATTTAAATCTATTTTCTATTCTGTATTTCTCATCGATTCATCTACATACTCATTATTGTTCAACGTTCAAATCATTTCAATTTCTTCCTGTCATAATAATAACCTCTTATACAGCTGGCAAAATTATTTTTCTCCTTTATTGTTTAGATTATCATTGATTGCCATCCTTTGTTATTCTAGTCCTTCACATTTTATGTCCAAAAAAAATTTCAAGAACAGTAATATGATTTTCAAATTCGTCTTAAATCCTTGGTTTTAAGGATTTTAACCAACTCTTTCTTTACAAAATAGTGGCTTAATCTTGATGAGCTCATCTAAACTTGAAACTTAGAAAATACTATGACAGACACTTTTAACTATTCCACTGAATATCCACAACACTTTCCCTAATATTTACATTACATACAGTCTCTTAAAATGAGGACTAAATCTGTGTAATCTGTGGACACAGCCACCGGAAGCACATACCACCTATGAATATAAATGATAGGATAGCACAAAGGCAGTGAACACAGTTGTGGTTTTTTGAATTGGTAAACAACTCTTGATTCACTTACCAATAACAACTCCAGCAGCATAATATTGCATTTCTGGAAAATTCAGCATGACTTAAAGCTCTGCAGAACACACATGTTTACAAATGGACTTGGTTCCAGAGTCCAGTAAATACAAACAGGCTTTCACCTACATAATAAGCGTGAAGTGGAAAGAGTCAGTAGCTGGTTAGGAAAAGAGAATGACTTCATTTTTCTGGTAAAAGTTTTGTGTCTGGCATCACTAGGTCCCAAATGGTCTCCCCAAATTCATTTTGACAACCAAAAATACCCTTCTAAATTTTGATAATGCTTCCTGCTCAGCAGACAATAGACATTTATTGTGAGTACTTTTGAATCATTGAAATAAAAAATCAATTAAAAAATTTTAAAAATCATTGAATGTCTGAAAAACATCCAGATCTATTTCCTAAAATTTCACATTATGCTAAAAAGGCATGCGAGCCAAAATGAAGGACATCAATGTCAACAAGGAAGGACAGCTAAAAATGTTCAAAAGACTCCACCCAGAACGTAGAACATTTTATCCAAGGGTTGTCCATCAATCCTCTTCATTATCTGCTAATTCCCTCAAGAGATTGCTGAATGGAAACCCTGGGAATTTATCCCTCATAATACCCTGAAAATACTGTTCTAAAGTAGGCTGCACATAGTTTTATGACCTTCCCATTTAGGCTTGGAGCAGGTCCAGGAAGGTACTTCTTGGGATTCACTTCCAGATTTCCCTCCTGAAGTTCAAACTGCAGAGCTGTTATTTCGTTTATTACAAGAAGACAATGTTTCCATACCTAGACTGTCAAATGTATTCCTGCAAGGCAATACATTTGGATACATTTTGTAGACACCTTTCCTGTCTTCTAGGGACTCGCCTTTTCTAGTAGAGACAGAAACGCAGTAACTGAAACAAGTATTCTAACTTAGTTGTGGATAAAGTACCATTTGTTCACAGAAGAGGGGATAGCTATGTAGGTTTACTCCAGGATGAAAGGAGCATTATTCGAGCTATTTTTTTTAGAAATTAGTTTACCAGGTAGAGGTGAGTGGGTAATGGCCACTCTATGATGTCACTGAAGTATACTGATAGCATTGCTAGGTAGAAAACTTTTTTTTTTTTAAGATTTATTTTTTATTCATACAGAATTGGAGTACAGGCCAGAGATGCGGAGGGTGAGAGGCTTCACCAGAGACAGAGCAGGGAGCAGAACAGGCAGATCGACAAAGTACACTGCTGAGGGGAGCAGCGGGTGGGTCAGGAGAGGTCTGCCGCGCCATGTGGATCTCCTCCAGGGCAGGCGGGAATCGAACTCATGCTAAAGTGGCTTTAGCTTCTTAGTGCTGTGCTTTATCCTGCTGTGGCACCAGGGAGGGCCCAGAAAACTTTTTTAATGCCTATGTCCATGAGTTGGACTAGGTACATAACCTTGTTATTTCAGTTATAAGTAAATGAAAAACATGAGTTGTAATAAAAGTTAAATTCTATAAATGTTACTCAAAATCTGTATGGAGCATCTTCTTGTCACTTCTTACACTTTTGCCTTGCAGGAATTATGTTAGTCTTTTGACCACCTCTTCTTCACTGTGTTTTATTGAGTGCTGAATTCTACATTTACTCCTCATACCTTGAAAATACCTTTTTAAAACATGCTACACATAGTTCTATAAATTTTCCCTTTAGCCTTGTAGTCGGCCCCTGTCCCCATAACATGTATTCAATTTTTTAAACAACTGCAAACATAAAATTATTCATGCTCAAGCTTATGAAAACAAAATAGCAAACTGTAACTTTGCTTTAGCAAAGAGTAATTTCATTTTGCAAGGTGAAAGCAGTTTCATGGCTGCAGTGGGAAAGGACCCCAGCTAGGCAGTTTGAGAAGCAGGTTCGCAGTGGGGGGGGGGGTATCCCATCGTGCCTGAGACACCCCCTTCCACCCCCCCAACCCCCACCGGCCACACGTGGTGCCAGCTGGGGCCTCTGGACTGTAACAGGGGGTCCCTAGGAAAAAGGGAAGTTCCAGGTTCCCTGCCCCACCCAGAAGGAGGGTGGAGCTGAGCAGAGAAAAAGGAGAGAAGAGAAGGAATCAGAAGAGAAGGAAAAAAAGAAGGAAGCAGGATGGAGAACAAGGAGACCTGAGGAAGCCACCTGGAGCAGCAAGCATGTGATGAAGAAACCGGGCTTGTTACCTGGCCCTGGACTGGTTAAGGCAGATGTGGGTGAGCTACTTGTAGGGAGGTGACTCTGGCAGTGTTTATATTGATTTTGATGTTGCTCTTTTCCTCCCAGACTTGTCTGGCCATTTCTGACCCTTTTCCATGGGTCCTGGCCAGAAGGTGCTTTAGTCTCGCGGCAGCTTTCAGGCCTGGCTCTGGGCCAATCCCTTTTGGGGGGACTTTTGCCCACGAGGGGCTGGGTCACTTCAGGTGTTTGATTTAGAAGTTCTATTCTTTGTGTTCCGTATTGTATATTTACTGTATTAAAGTCCTTTTTCATTAAAGTTTTATGTTCGGTCTTGTTGAGGCGGATGGCAGAACCCACTTAGAGCAGGCAGGTTTGGGGGTTCAGGGGTGCCCCTCTCCCCGTCCTGGAACAGGACCACCATGCTAGGCGCTCGTCGTGGGGTTCAGAGTGGTCCTGTGCCCGCAGGCCGGACACCCGATCACCAGTCGGATCTCGGTCACTGGCAACTGTCCGCGGAGGCCCAGACTGCGCACGCGTGGAGGCGCCACGCGTGGAGGCGCCGGGCGCCCCGTCCAGGGCGAGGTTAGAGGTCGCGAAGAAGGCGCCCGAGGCGGCGCCCCGAAGGACCCCGTTCCTCCCGCCGCTCGCCGGGACGTGAGGGCGGCACTGAGACTAGTGCGCGACGCCCAGGGGTCGCCCATTGCTTTCCCGAGAAGCGCCCGCGGCCGTCGGGGACAGCGCGGACGCGCAGGCGGGCGTGCGCACGCACTTCCTCCGTCGGCAGGAAGGGACGGCGCGGGCGGGGCGGCCCACGGGCCGCGCATGCGCCCTTCCTCCGCAGCCCCCGGGGTGCGAGCGGGCGAAACCGCCAGTGCGCCTGCGCCGTCGCCGGCTCCCTCCACCTCCCCCTGTGCCCCCGCGGGGGCTCCGGGTCCGGCGGGACCATGTTCACCAGCACCGGTTCCAGTGGGCTTTGTGAGTACCGGCCGCCCCTTCCTGCCTGCCCCGTACATGCCGCCCTGGGCACCCCCTTGAAGAGACCGGGGGCACAGGGGACCCTCGGGTTTGCAGGAGGTTTGGGGGCCGACCCTCCACCCCCGGCGCCCGAACCTTGATGGTTACTGCCAGTGGGGGACCGCGAGCACCACCCCCAATCTCACTCTGCGTGGGCTAGTGGGAACCAAGTCCCTCCGCCCGTCCTTGGACCTCCCACCCCCACCTCCCATGAGCCCCAGGCTCGTGGGGCTGCTTGCTGCAGGTGGACCGGGCTGTTGGGGCCCGGCGGGGGCCCCGGGGCGAGCCCCATCCCTGGACGCACTTGTGCGGGGCGGAAAGGAAAGGCCGTCCAGGTGGAGGCGATGCTGGACGCCCGTCCCCCTTCACAGTCACCTTGCTCCATTCATTTAGGTTACGGAGGGACCGATCTGGTCTCCCCCACATGGCATTCCCAGCCTCTGCTTCGGGAGATGACCCCTCAGTTTTGCTTAGATTTCTTTCTTTCTCAGTCTCCCTTAAAACGTTTTAGACAAACAAAAACTGATTCGAATACTTCAAAGTGGAAGGAAGTTAGGAAGTCGTTTTGGCACTAGAGCGAAGATATGGCTACTGTGTGTTGCTGTGATATTTTCCTGGAGTGTCAGCGGTGGTCAGCGTATTTGTGGCATTTTAGACTGCTTAATTTTTCTGGCTGAAAGCGTTGGCTTGCCTTTTGGTCAGGTAGGCTGCATGGGAATTAAACAGCAACGGATTAGGCACGGATCCAGCCACAGTGAACTGCTGGGAACAGTCATAATTTTACAGTTGCTTGTCACGGTCGGTCTGTCACGGTCTGTCTTTCAGGTCTCTCACGTCTCTATCCTGGGGAAGTTAATCTTGCCAGAGTGTATAGGAGGTTGACATTTGTAGCTATAAATAATCTGCTGTGCAGATCATCGGATTTCTTAGGAATCTTTTTCTAAGAAAACCGAGAAACTGAGCTAATATCAGAGCCACAGATATTTCAAATCATCCTCACATCTCAGGTTTTGAAGTGGAACTTATGACTTCCCTTGTTTCCTAGTTAATTGTTCATGGTGTCCTTCAAACATTAGCCTCAGAGAACATTACAAGTACTAGCTAAGTAACCCAAACTACTCTGGATCAAGAACATGATGACCGTTGATGAAACTGATACTCAAGAAGGTGATGTGATTTTCCTGGGATCACACAGAGAACTAATGGTAGAACTCTTCAATTTTAGTTGCCCTTTGAGCATGTTTAGCTGTCCTTGTTGACTTTAAAAAGTCAAGAGACATCTGTTTCTGGTTACTAACTGTACTGGCCACTCTATTGGCAAAGCTTTTTCACCTTTGTTACGGGGTGACGCTGGGGAAGGTGTTATTTTGTCCCTGTAGCACAGGGTGGCAGTTTATGGAGTTCTAGAAGCCATTATGCTGCCTAGGGAGAGATGGGGGGCGGGGCAGCTATTTTGCCTGGTGTCTGTAAAGAAAGTGCTCATCTAGCTCAAGATGTAGGTGTCACTGGGTTGGGTTCTTCTGAGGCTCCCTTCTTGGTTTGCATCTGCCCACCCTCTCCCTGTGTCCTTATGTGGTATTTCCCCATGTGTGCTCAGCTTGATGCTCCTTCCTCTTGGTTGAAGGACACCAGTCATACTGGAGTAGGGCTCCCCTCCTGTGAGGCCATTTCACCTGATAATCTAAAAAGCTGATGAATGGCCATTCCTCAGAAGGCCGGACTTCCTGTGCTCTTTTATCTTTTTAACAAGCATTGTTAGGCACCTGTTGTGTGCCTGGAATTGTGCAGGGAACCTTGAGCAAGTCTGGATCCCTATGTTTGCAGCAACTCTGGTAGCATTTAGGCATGGGTTTTTCCAGAAATGCTCTTTTGGCAAGTCTGGGTAAGAGCTCTTGCTATAAAATTTTTCTTTCAAGGCTACCTGCAGAAAAAGGAGCAGCTTCCTTTCCATCAGGAGCATTCGGATCTTAGATGTCCTGAGAAATGTATCTGTCTTCCCCTGCCTGCCTCCAGGGAGTGGGCAGTAACATTCTCTTTTCCAGGGACATCCCTCCCCATAATGTCCTGTCACTTACGTGTTTCTTCCACCTGTGACGAGTAGATGATGCTGGTTTAATGTCCCACTTACTAGCTTCCTCTCTCCCCTGTTCGTTCGCGCATTCATTCAGGTGGCGATTGAGAAGGTCTGTGAGCCCCATACTGCTCATGCATGTGGACAGCAGGTAAAGGATAGCAGCCTCCAAAACGTCAAGCGTCACTTCCCCTAAGTGTGGAGAAGACCATGGAGAGAATGGCAGAGATGGGGTTTCGAGGTTGTGATGGATAGCTGCGTGGGGTTCATGGTCAGGAAAGATAGCCAGGAAGGTGACATGTGAACCAAGACCTTTCACAGTGAAGGGGCAGCCAGGTCAGAGTTGGCTGAGAAATGCGCAGAAGGGAACAGCAGTGGGAACACTGGCTCAGCTGCAGCGGGGCGTTTCCAGGCGCTGCAGAAAGCTGGTGCCGCCCGGGCAATAAATCAAGGGATGGGCATCTGTGATCATGTTTTGAAGCTCAGTTACTGGGTGCTAGGTCATGCATGATGACTGGGTGTGCTTGGGAATTACTTATTTTAGATTCTTATAGACTGGGGTTGTCACTCAAGTGTGGGTTGAGCAATAGGCATGTCATTTGTTACATTCATCTATTCTTATTTTATTTAAATTTTTTTTAAGATTTATTTATTTGTGCATACAGAACTGGGGTACAGGCCAGAGGCTGAGGGGTGGCGAGAGGCTTCACCAGAGACAGTGGGGAGCAGAACAGGCAGATGGACGAAGGACACTGCTGAGGGGAGCAGCAGGGGGCTCAGGAGAGGTCTGCCGCGCCATATGGGTCAGCTCCGGGGCAGGCGGGAATCGAACTCATGCGAAAGTGGCTGTATCTTCTCAGTGCTGTGCTTCAACCCACTGCGCCACTAGGAGGGCCTATTTTATTTAAAATTTAAACAACAGCCCACTATACCATACGTTTCAGGTGTTTGTCCTGGGGACTCCATGCGTGTCTCTGCTGCATTAAGGTCACCTCTACCAGCCCACATTGCTCCTTCTCCCATTGGCCCCTTTTGCCAATGGACCGCCGCCCCCTCTTCCTTTCTAGTAACTGCTAGCTGGTTATGTCACCCAGAAGTTTATTTTTTGTATTTCATTCCTGTTTTCTCTACTTGCCGCATGGTAGTGCGGTCTGCTGGGGCCCGTCTTGTGTTGTCTGGCTCGTTTTGCTGAGCGTGGCTCTCTCGGGCCATCCACAGTCCCTTTACTAACAAGTGCTCCCTTGCTCTCGCGTGGGTCGCGCGTCAGGTGGGCTGCGCCAGCCTCGCCGGCCTCAGGTCCTCCAGGTGTCTTGGCACCGCCGCCCTCACGGAGCTCACGTGGTTGCTGTGTGTTCTTGCAAGAGGGGTGATGGCAGAGGGCACCCCTGTCAGTGATATTTGAGCTGATTTTTAAGGGTTCAGTATGAGTTGTCAGACAGAGGCGTCTGAGGGGTGGGGGCAGCCCGGGCAGGGGCTGGCAGAGACAAGAGGTCGTGAGTGAGCGGCGCGCTGTGGATTGTGGCTGGAGTGAGCACTTCATAAGGGGGTGCAGAGGTGAAATCCTTGAGAGGCCAGGGAGAGGAGATGGGGGACAAACCTGACCGGAGGAGCCTAGAGGAGCTGGAGGAGGGGCCCAGGCATCTCCCCAACAAAACTGGAAGGAAGAGCCAAAATCTGGAAGCAGCGAAGCCACCGGAGGAGGGGGCACTTCACCCCGCAGGGGAGGGAGGATGGGAGTTTATGGCTGGGGCCGGAGCTTTGTTTTCCAACTATTTCCTGTGCCCTGGCAGCAAAAAATACCAACCCAGGAGCTTCCTGAATTTCCAGACTCCTGGGTCCCATCCCTGGAGGGTCAGAGTCAGATCAGAATGGCTAATGCGGGCATCAGAAGTCTGGGAGCTTCTAATGGACAGTTGTAGATCAAGGCAGGAGGACAGCCAGCAGGAGGGGCAGAGAAGTGCTGAGGAGGGGAGCGGTGAGGGTGGACAGGACCGCAGGAGGATTCAGAAGAGGTGAGACAGGCAGACTGTCGAAGTCTTGGGTGTGGGCTGAGAGGGCAGCAGCGCTGACAGGGTACACAGGCGTCTCTGCCCACTTGGAGCTCACAGGAGGAGCTCGCTGCGGCGTAGAGGTCAGCACTGGACATGTTTAGTGTCAGAGGGCTGGGAAATTCCGCAGAGACACCCAGGGGACACCTGGAGAGAGGCGCTGGACCGGTCATGGGTTTAGTTGGGAGCGAGGTGCCCCACGGGCCTGAGTGGCAACCCATAGGCAGTTCCAGTGTCTGAGGGCTAGAGAAGGAGGCAGCAAGGTAGGTGGAGGTGGTGTCTAGGAGGAAGCGGTCTTCTGCCCTCTCCGTGCAAACAAAACCCTGCAGCTTCTTCCCCCTCTCCCAGCGCCTGACCGCCAGGCTCTTGATCCTTCTTGTCTGCAGTTAGCAGTCCCTTTCTGGCATCGTCCATACTGATCTGGGTTCCGTGCTGTGTTCCCAGCGTTGCATTCTCACCCTGTCTTTTGGAGACCTGGCGCCATCCTCCTGGGCCCACCTCGCAGAGCCCCCACCTTGCCCTAACCTGTGGGGTCTCGCCCAGCCACGTCCTTGCCAGGTTTCTTAGTTACATTTCTCGGGTTCAGCCATCTCCCCTTGCTCTTCCTCCCTTCTTCCTGTCCCCAAGACTACTGCACCTTTCTCTTAACCTGTTCCAAACAGCCAGGCTTTCAGCGGGGCGCGTGCTTGCTGTAACCTGCTTATAATCCCCTTGGACAGGAGGCTTCTTGCTGGAGCACTGACATTTGAGCTGCGATTTGAGGGCTGCATTGGAGTTTGTCAGGGATGCAGACTTTGTTCCCTTCCTGCAATCTGAAATGAAGCACCCTTCTCCTGAGGGGC